TGGCGAGCTACAGCAAAGCGAACAGGGCGTGCGAGAAAGGAACGTTGAAGTTGAAACCCGACACCATCAGTTGCAACACTGCGATCAGGGCAATAGAGGCCGAGGCCAAGCTGGAACCCAGTATCACTAGCGTCTTCCCATCCCCACCCCTCGTCGCCACGACTGGACCAGCGAAAACGGAATGCGGTTCGGATGCAGAGGCGAAGATGGAGCCAAACGTGCGCGAGAAGTGGGAGGCGAATATAGAGCCCAACGACATCCGCTACAACGCTGCGGTCAGTGCGCGTGGTGGAGTCAGCTCGGCGATGTGGGCCGCACGACAGGGCCATCGCCGACGCGCTGCTGGGCCCTGGATGCGAAAAGTGGGAGGCGAAGATAGAGCCAGATACCGCCAGCTACTGCGCAGACACCAGGGCATGCGAGAATGTGACGACAGAGGGTAAAGGGGGGCTCAACGTCGACAGCTACAGGTAAGCGAGGGGCGGCCTCGGAGTATGGGGGGCCCTCCCCGAGGAGGACCAGAGAAAACTCGAGACCATATACCTGAAGTACATCGGCACGCCCAGTTGGAATCTCAGCCCCTTTCACCCTACAAGGTTCGAGCGGCAGGCCCACGTGGCCAGTCAGGCCAGGCCTGGGGTACGCGTCCAGATAAGGCGCGTGCGAGAAGGGGCGAGCGTGGCAGCCCACCGTGACCAGCTACAGCGTTGCGATCGGGCCGTTGTGATAGAATGCGAGCCGAGCGTCGGGAAGGCGGTCGCGAGCGCGAGAGCGTCCCGCGGATGCCGCTCGGAGCGGCTCCAGGAGAGCACCCACGGTTGAACCCGACCACGGCCCCCTGTAGGTGGAGGCCGAGGGCGCCGCAGTCGACAGCGACAGCGTCGCGATCCGCGTCCCCGCGTCCCTTCCCTCCTCTTCCTCCTCCGTCTCCTCCTCCTCGTCCTCCTCCTCCTCCTCCTCCTCCTCCTCCTCCTCCTCCGTCTCGTCTTGCCCCCTCTTATCCCCCCCCCCTCCTCATCATCCTCATGCCTCCCTCCCTTCCTCCTCCTTTCCCCTCTCCTCCTCCCTCCCTTCCTCCCTCCTTCTCTTCCTCTCCTACCACTCGTCCTCCTCCGTCTCATCCGTTTCCTCCTCCTTTTCTCCTCATCCTCCTCCTCCTTCATCCTCTCCTCCTCCTCCTCCTACTCCTCCCTCCTCCTCATCCTCCTCCTCCTCCTCGCTCTTCCCTCCTCCATCCTGCTCCTCACTCTTCCCTCCTGGGCCTTCCTCCCTCCCCTCCCTCCTTTTCCCCCCCCCCATCCTCTCCTCCTCCTCCTCCTCCTCCTCTCCTCCTCCTCATCCTCCTCTCCCCTCCTCATCGACTCCCCTCTCCTCCTCCTCCTCCTCCTTTCTCCTTTCCTAGGGCCTCGCCGCCTCCTGCTGCCTCCCCCCCTCCCTCCTTCCTCCCCTCCTCCGCCCTCCTCATCCTGCTCCTCTTCTACCTCCTCCTCCTCCTCCTACTCCGTTTCCCCCCCTCCTCCCTACTCCTCCCCTCCTCGTCCTCAGCTCCTCCGCCTCCTCCTCAATTTCCTCCCCCTCCTCCTCATTTTTCCTCCCCCTCCTCCTCCTCCTCCTCCTCCTCCTTTTTCCTCCTCCTCCTCCTCCCATCTTCCTTCTACTCGCCTCCTCGTCCTGCCTGCCTCCCTCCCCCCCTCCCTCATCCCCTCACTTGCCCCCACCTTCTTCTTCTCCTCTGTCCTCCTATCCTCTTACTCCTCTTCTCCGACTCCCCTCCTCCTCCTCATCCTTCTCACTCCTCCTCCTCCTCCTCCTCCTCATCCTCCTCCTCCTCCTCCTCCTCCTCACCCTCCTCCTCCTCCTCCTCCTCCTCCTCCCCCTCCTCCTCCTCCTCCACAATTGCTCCATATGAATACTACTATCCCTCTTCCCCCGATGGCGGCCTGAAAGTAGTGGACCCCCCCGCGTATTGTTTTTTACACAGGATTCCCGGGAGTTGGGTTTTCGCCTGCGTTTTTTCAAAATGCTGCTCTCGCTGAGGCGCCGGCCTCATTTCTGCTCCCGAATCGTTCCGAATCGTGCTCCCGCTGCAGCGTGGGCCTCATGTTCGGATCGGTGTTTTGCCTCCGTCGTTCAGGATGGCGTTCTCGCCCCAGCGCGGGCCTCTTTCTCGCGCGACCATCCGCCCGCCACCACCGCGCCGCACCACGCCCCGCCCCGCCGCACGCACACCCACCGCCACTTCCACCCACCAACGCACGCACGCACGCACGCGCACCACCACCGCGCACCGCCACCACCACCGCACAACCCCACCCACCACCACCACGCTACACCGCGGCACACCACAACACACGCGCGCACACGACACACACCACGCACGCACGCAAACGCACGCCACGCACGGCACGACGCACGCACGCACGCCACGCACGCACGCACGCCGCAACGCACTGCACGCAACACCACACACACACACACACACAACCACACACACACACACACACACACAACACACACACACACCTACACACACACGAAGCACGCACGCACGCACGCACGCACGCACGGCAAGCACGGCACGCACGACGCACGCACGCACGCGCACACCACACGCACACGCACACGCAACGCACACACCACACACACACACAACACACACACACGCACACGCACAGCACACGCACACGCACACGCACACGCACACGCACACGCACACGCACACACGCACACGCACACGCACACGCACACGCACACGCACACGCACACGCACACGCACACGCACACGCAGACGCACACACGCAGGCACGCACGCACGCACACACACACACACCACCACCGCCACCACCACCACCGCCATCACGCACGTACGCACCTGGCCCACCACCAAACCACCAAGACGCCACACCACGTCACACCACAGCACACGCGCACACACGCACACACACACACACATATATATATATATATATATACACACCACCACCACAACAACCACAACCACGCACACACGCACGCACGCACGCGCACCACCACCCACTACGCACACGCGCGCGGAGCCACAGGTCCGCTACGACACGCGTCCGCGAATAGAGAAAATCAGCGCCATGGTAAGGGATGGGGGGGAGGGGTAGGATGTCAGATGTTGGCGCCCCAGGAGCGGTTGTGGACAGGCTCCGCGGCGCAGTTCCGAGCAGCGCACGACGCCGTCACCAGGTTTTTAGGCATTTCCACGGCAGATGGCGCGGGCCGCACCCCCGCCAGCTTGAGGGCCGGCGGTGCGACATGACATTTCGAGCAGTGGGAGAATTTGCCGATGCTGCAGTGGCGGGGGCGCTAGCAAGCCAGCCGCACGATGGAGATTTATGTTCAAGAGGTGGCTGCGGCCAGCTTGCTCCCGGAGTTGCCGCCCCAAGTACGCGAACGCATAGGTCTTTTCGCTTCGATTGCTGAGCCTTTGCTGGATCAGTGCCGCCAGATGCTGCACTGTCGGCCCTGGTGCGCGTATTGATGGCGAGCGCGTGCCCCACAACAGAGACGAGGGGCACCTGCAAGACATGTCTGCCTTGCACACCCTCCGCCTTCCCCGTTCACCACCGAGGGTAGTTTAGTATAGTTCCGAGGTGGGCCGTTGCCGTGAGGGCACGAACCCTCCGGCAGACCAGCGCAGACATAGAATGGCATCGTCTCTGAAAAATGGTGTGGTGAGATAGGGCAGTTAGGGCTCAAGGAGAGCAGGGGGAGTGCAAGCATGTCTCCTCTATGCTTTCACCCGCCGATTCCGTAGCTGTCCAGGCTCCCACCCACCCCGCCCATATACATATACATATACATTACACATAACTATACATATACGTATATATATATACATACATATACATATACAAACACATATACATATATACATACATATGCATATATGTATATATACATACATACATACATATACGCATACACATACATATACGCATACATATACATATACATATACATATACATATACATATACATATACATATACATATACGTATACATATACATATACATATATATGCACATACACATACACATACACATACACATACACACATACATACATGCATGCATACATACCTACATACTTGCATGCATGCATGCATACATGCATGCATGTATACATGCATACATGCGTACATACAGAGTTACGCGCCAGCGCGCCGACGGGGACATTCGGCGTGGGCAAGCGCTCGGCGGCGGGGTGTGGGGGGAAGGGATGGGAGGGGAACGGGGCCTCGAGCGGGGAGTCACGCCGACGGGAGCACTCTGCGAGGGCACCCCAGGAGGGGGACGGGGCCTCGAGCGGGGAGCCACGCCAACTGGAGCACTCGGCGAGGGCAAGTGCTCGGCGGTGGGGGGGAGAGGGGTACCCTTTTCAGGCAGTGCGCGCCGACGGGTGGCACTCGGCGAGGGCAAGCGCTCGGCGGCGGGGAGAGAAGGGGAGGTGGGTCTTGGGAGGTGGGTCTTGAGCGGGGAGGGCGCGCCAACGGGGGACACTCGGCGTCGGACTTAGCGGCAATCGTGGGCTGACGACGCCCAGGCTGGCTGCTGGCCGTTGCCTCACCACACCTCACATCACCTCACCTCGCTTTGCGTTGCCTTACCTTATCTTACCCATTGAGTTACCCTGCCCTACCCTGCCCTACCCTACCCTACCCTACCTCACATCACCTTACCGTGCCGTACCGTCTCTTACCCAACCTGACCTGACCTGACCGGATTTTACCCGACCTTCTTCTACTTCACCTACCCTGTCTGACCTCGACTGACCGTGCCGTACCGTGCCTCACTGCACCTGACCTTCCTTTCCCTTACTTTTCATGCCTCAGCTTACCTGACCGTGTCTTACCGTAGCTTATGATACTTTGCTTCACCTCATATTACCTTCCTTACTTCCTCCCCCCAGCACCCTCCATCCGCCACCTGCCGCTCGTCCTCCACCTCTTCGCCCGTGCCCGTACCCCTTCTGGCCCGAGCGTGGCCACAGCCCCTTGGCGCGCGGCACGCCACCGACCCACGGCCCGGAGACCCTGGGACGCCTGCCTGCCATGGGCCCCAGCAGCTTCCCGCGAGGGGCCCCGGCGGCCACCTGCTCGTACGAGCCCGTGTGCGGTGCCGACGGGTACCCCGCCCTGAGCGGGTCCCCGCCGCGGCGCTCGCTGCCCGACGGGCCGGCGACGAGGGCGAGGTGCCAGGGCCGCACCGCCGCGGCCGCCTCCGCCGTGCTGCTTGCGGCCGGCTGCGCCGCAGGTGCGGCGCGGGCGCTAGCGGGCCAGCTCGGACCCAGCGCGGCGCAGTCCCAGCAGCTGAGGAGGGGCATCGTGATGGCGGCGTTCGACTGCACCGACTTCCCTTCCGAGGACTGGTCCGGCAACAAGAAGAAGTGGTGCTGTGAAGTGGAGAAGGTCTGCGCTGACTCTCGGCCCGCGGCAGAAAACGCTGCAACGACAAAGGATACCACGGCCCCAGCGGCAGCCCCGGCGGCGCCAGCTGCGCTCACGGCCGCTGAGCCTGCCGCGGCGGCTGCGGCGGCAGCAGCGGCCAAACCGGCTGACCCAGAGCCAGCAGCTGCTGCGGCAGCAGCAGGTGTTATTGCGGCCGAGCCAGCTGCCGCGGAGCCGGCCGCCGCGACTCCTGCTGCGGCGCCCGCTGCGCCTGCGGCCGCTGTGCCTGCCGCAGCCGCTGCGGCGGAAGCAGCGGCCACCGATGCCAAGCCGGCTGCCGCGGAGCCAGCTGCCGCGGAGCCGGCCGCCGCGACTCCTGCTGCGGCGCCCGCTGCGCCTGCGGCCGCTGTGCCTGCCGCAGCCGCTGCGGCGGAAGCAGCGGCCACCGATGCCAAGCCCGCTGCCGCGGAGCCAGCTGCCGCGGAGCCGGCCGCCGCGACTCCTGCTGCGGCGCCCGCTGCGCCTGCGGCCGCTGTGCCTGCCGCAGCCGCTGCGGCGGAAGCAGCGGCCACCGATGCCAAGCCCGCTGCCGCGGAGCCGGCAGCCGCGCAGCCGGCCGCCGCGGCTCCTGCTGCGGCGCCCGCTGCGCCTGCGGCCGCTGTGCCTGCCGCAGCCGCTGCGGCGGAAGCAGCGGCCACCGATGCCAAGCCCGCTGCCGCGGAGCCGGCCGCCGCGCAGCCGGCCGCCGCGGCTCCTGCTGCGGCGCCCGCTGCGCCTGCGGCCGCTGTGCCTGCCGCAGCCGCTGCGGCGGAAGCAGCGGCCACCGATGCCAAGCCGGCTGCCGCGGAGGCGGCCGCTGCGGCCCCTGCTGCGGTGCAGCCGTGTAGCACGGCCGTGACCCAGGCCGAGGCGCCGTGCGACGACGCTCCGTCGGCTCCAGTAGGCCTCTGCGCGGAGAACGGGTGTGGCGAGCCCAGACCCGGGCAGGGGTGCCACTGCCACCCGGGGTGCACAGACGGCGGCACTTGCTGCTCTGATTACGACTCGTGGTGCATCGCGGCGGGGCATGCGGGCGAGAGCGCCGCTGCGCCGGTAGCGGAGGGCAGCAATGGAACTGAAGGTGCGCCTCCTGCTGCTGCCGACGAGAACGCTACGGCGGGAGACGGAGGTCTGGGCCTCCCAAATGGGGTCCGAGCAGATGGGGTCGAAAGGTCGCGCCACATCGCCGATGCACCGGCGACACGGCTCGATGTGGAGCCCGACTTTCTCCGTGCCGACGCCGCCGGATGCATCGCCGACGTCGCCGATGCATCGCCGATGCGGCGCGATCCTCGGGCACCACCCCCTCGGACCCCGTGCGGGAGGCGTCTGGGAGTGGGCGAGGGAGGTGGAGGTGGAGGAAGAGGAGGAGGAGGAGGAGGAGGAGGAGGAGGAGGAGGAGGAGGAGGAAGAGGAGGAGGAGGAGGAGGAGGAGGAGGAATAGGAGAACAGGAGGAGGAGGAGGTAGGAGGAGGAGGAGGAGGAGGAGGGAGGAGGAGGAAGGAGGAGGAGGGGGACCCCAGGCGGCGCAGGCGGCCGCGTCCAGCGACCACATCTCGACCACGGGCCCCCTCCAGGAGAGGCTGAGCCTCGTGCCCGAGATCACGGGCAAGGCTCCCCCGAGGCCCGCGCCTCCCCCGACGGTGCCGGTGCCCGGCAAGTCGCCCAGGCCGGCTTCCTGTCCCGAGGAGGACATCAGTCGGGAGCAACGACGGGGGGGGAATGGGCATAGGAGCTAGAGGAACGAAGAATGGCATGAACATAGTAACTCGGAAGTCCGCACGGTTTCTCGGGTCGGCGCTGGACCCCCTCCCTGGCTCGCGGAGCGCGCCAGGGGCGGCGCCAGAGGCGCCGCTGGAGGCGCCGCCAGGGGGGGTCCAGCATTGATCCGAGAGCTCTGCGCGGACCTCCGAGTTCTTATGTTTATGTCATTGGTCGTTCCCCTCGATGACGGGGGGGAATGGGAACAGGGGGGGACGCATCGACCCCGAATCGCCCATGGATCGCAGACAGGGGCTCGATGGCTCCAGCCCGCCCAGGCAGGTGCGGACTCACGATCGGAGGCCCGTCGCTGGTCCATCGGCGATGTATCACCGATTCCAGGTCGATGCATCCCCCCCTGGGCCAGTCCCCCCCTTATCGTTGCCCCTCAATCAGGGAGCGAAGAATGGCATACAGAGGCAGCCCATGCCGAGAAACACCCTGCTTGCCTCCAGGGTGCCCTAGGTTTCTTCTTGGGATTCGATGGTTCTGCGATGGAAAACGTGACGTCCCCATTATTACCTATACGACCACCCTTCGGCTGAGAAGGAGGTTGTGGGGGGGAGGGGGGGAGCCAACATCTGACTCAATCGATCTCACTATCGATCTCACTCAACGGGACACCACGGGACACCACGGGATACTCGTCGATCTCACTATCGATCTCACATCAGCCCCGCGACTTATGCCTGAACCCCCCAACCCCCTGGCCTGATTTCTTTTCTTCTTTCCGCGGGGGGTCAACCTTCGCGGCGACCCGTTACATCCGGGACCCCTGGCGGCGCATGGATTTCTTTCTTTCTTCCGCGCGCGAGTGGCCATTGGAACCCCTGAGCCCCTCCGACTACCGTACAACTAGTATTTGAGTACGACTGGTACTATCATGTACTAGCGCGCAGTTGTTCCTAGAGAGCACATTGTCCTGCCGTGCAAGTATTCGAGTGCAAATGGTACCATATTACAACTGGTAGAACTGCGCGCCCTAGTACAACTCCCTAGTACAAATCCCTAGTACTAGTACAACTCCCTGGTACAATTCCCTAGTACAACTCCCTGGTACAATTCTCTAGTACAAATATGTAGTACCAGTACAACTCTTTGATGCACTTCCCGAGTGCTAGCTCAACTTGCTAGTACAAGTCCCGAGTACGACTCCCAGGTACATCTCCCTGGTTATAATACAACGTATATCACAGCTCCAGAGTGAGTCTAGTGATACAATGTAATAGTACACTTCTCTAGTTAAGCTTCCTAGTACATTTCCCTCGTCCAAGCAGTATTCGTACAACTCCCTAGTACAACTCCCTAGCACAAGTCCCTAGCACAATTCTCTAGTATTAGTACAACTCCTTAGTACACATCCGTTAGTACTAGCACAGTTCCCCAGTGCAACCACTATTAGAGTGTTGCTGCATTGCACTTACAATCTGGGCTCTCACGCTTTTCCTCCTCTGGTTGCGCTGGGGGGGGTGGGGCCCCTCGCGCGGGCACCTCCGCGACTGAGAATTCATTCCTCTTCCGGAATTTGAGGCGGGGGCAACCCCCGTGCTCGAACCCTCGCCAGGGATTTTTTCCTCCGCGGAAGCCAGACCCCTTGGGTTCCTGGGCGCGCCCCAGAAGTTCTTTCCTTCCGGATGGGCCCCCATGGGTCCTTGGTTGGAGTCGCGGGGCTGATGATCTCACTATCGATCTCACAGGGACACCACGGGACACCACGGGGCACCACGGGACACCGCGGGACACCTCTCGATCTCACTATCGGTCTCACTATCGATCTCACTATCGATCTCACTCAACTGGACACCAGGGGACACCACGGGACACCTCGGGGCCCACATCGATCTCACTATCGATCTCACTATCAACCTCACTCAACGGGACACCACGGGAAACCACGGGACACCTGTCGATCTCATTATCGATCTCACTATCGATCTCACTTTCTGGGACACCACGGGACACCTCGAGGCACCACATCGATCTCAGTATCGATCTCACTATCGATCTCACTATCGATCTCACTCCACGGGACACCATGGGACACCGCGGGACACCGCGAGCCACCGCCGGACGGACGGCCGGACGGGCGGGCGGGGGAGAATCATTTGTCTTGGCTTCGCCTGAGCAACGGCGGACACCACGGGACACCACGGGACACTTGTCGATCTCACTATCGACCTCACTATCGATCTCATTCAACGGGACACCACGGGCAACCACGGGACACAACGGGACACCGCGGGACACCTGTCGATCTCACTATCGGTCTCACTATCGATATCACTATCGACCTCACTCAACGGGACACTATAGGACACCACGGGACACCTCGGGGCACCACATCGATCTCAGTATCGATCTCACTATCGATCTCACCATCGATCTCACTCAACGGGACACCACGGGACACCTGTCGATCTCACTATCGATCTCACTATCGATCTCACTTTTTGGGTCACCACGAGACACCATGGGGCACATCATCGATCTCACTAGCGATCTCACTTTCGATCTCACTTTTGATCTCACTCCACGGGACACCACGGGACACCCCGGGACACCACGGGACACCACGGGACACCGCGGGACACCGCGAGACACCGCCGGACGGGCGGACGGACGGGCGGGCGGGGGACAATCATTTGTCATGGCTTCGCCCTAGCAACGGCGGACACCACGGGACACCACGGGACACTTGTCGATCTCACTACCGATCTCACTATCGATCTCACTCAACAGGACACCACGGGCAACCACGGGGCGGGACACCTGTCGATCTCACTATCGGTCTCACTATCGATATCACGATCGATCTCACTCAACGGGACACTATAGGACACCACGGGACACATCGGGGCACCACATCGATCTCAGTATCGATCTCACTATCGATCTCACTCAACGGAACACCACGGGACACTTGTCGATCCTACTATCGATGTCACCATCGATCTAACTCAACGGGACACCACGGGGCACCACGGGACACCTGTCGATCTCACTATCGATCTCACTATCGATCTCACTTTTTGGGACACCACTGGACACCTCGGGGCACCACATCGATCTCACTATCGATCTCACTTTCGATCTCACTCCACGGGACACCACGGGACACCACGGGACACCATGGGACACCGCGGGACACCGCGAGCCACCGCCGGACGGACAGACGGACGGGCGGGCGGGGGATAATCATTTGTCTTGACTTCGCCCTAGCACCGGCGGACACCACGAGACACCTCGGGACACCACGGGACACCGCGGGACACCGCTAGGGCCACCGCTGGACGGACGGACGGAGGAGAATCATTTGTCTCGACTTCGCCCTAGCAACGGCGGACACCACGGGACACCTAGGGACACCACGGGACACCGCGGGACACCGCTAGGGCCACCGCTGGACGGACGGACGGATGAGAAACATGTGCCTTTACTTCGCCCTAGCGACGGCGGGTTCATTCCTCTCGCGCGCCCACGCAGCTTCGCCTCGCCCGCGCGCACCAAACGAAACGAAACGAAACGAAACGATTTCCTGGTTGGGGGTCTCCGTTCTACTGCAATCTCACCCCCCGACCTCGGACCCAAACATCAATGGACATCCTGGGGTATCAGGGTTGGATTTCTTGTGGAAGGTTTCTTGTGGTCGAGCTCCTCTTGTAAGCATCGATGGTCGTAGGTCCGCGCGGACCGTCGAAGGTTCCTGCTTATGTCATTGCCTGTTCTCCGAGGACACGGAGCTGCCGAAGCTGTATTGCTTCGCCATTGCGCAGGCGGAGGTCACCGACCTCCCCAACGCGTTCGACGAGCTGGCTCTCCTGAGGAAGCAGTTCCGCCTCTGCGGTGGCGTCTTCGGGTGCACTCACTACGCCGTCTTCAGCGACCGCGAGCTCGAGGTCGGCCCGAAGGCGTCCAGCTGGACGCTGCCCTCCGTGACGTCGGCACTGGGCGGGGGCAGCGCCATGACCGCCACATGGGTGAACACGGAGGTGTTCAAGGGAGCCTGGCAGGCTATCATCGACGAGGGGTCGTACCTCGAAGACGACTTCGTCGTGAAGGCTGACCCCGACGCGGTGCTGGTCCCGACGGCACTGCAGAGCATCCTGCACCACAAGGGCTACGCGGCCGACCAGCCCACCCTGTTCCGAAACTGCCCCGGCGGCCCCCGGGGCCTGGAGCTCTTCGGCTCGCTGGAGGTCAGGGCCAGGGCTCGACCTGAACGGTGTCTCGGCGATTCCGTGGACCCTTTTTCGTTTTGACTTCGCTCTGCAGCGAAGGCGGAACGACGACAAGACGAGGGAAGGCGAAAGCCAAACGAAGGCAAAACAAAAATACTGTTCTGGTCGAGCCCTGCTGGAGGTCGTCTCCAGGACCGCCGTGGCCACCTACGCAGCGGCGGGCGCCCAGTGCCAGGAGAAGGTTCAGTAGGGGAAAAATCACACAGACACGATTCATCGTCGATTCCCCAGGGAAATATGGGAAGATATGGGACGTGGGGGGGAGACGAAAACCCAGAAAATATGGTGAAATATGGGGAATCCTGTTATTTGTGTCTATTTGTTTGCGTGTCCCAGGGCCCCTTCAAAGGTGGAGGACGCCGCGCTCATGGGCGAGGACATGTGGCTCCAGGAGTGCCTGGAGGCCATCGGCGTCCAGAGCGTCATGGACGTCGACCTTCTGCACGACGCGTACTGCAGCCAAGACGCCCTCGTGGCCGACATGTGCACCGACGGCAAGGCCGCCTACCACCCGTTCAAGGTCGCGGACGAGTGGGCGCGGTGCTTCGGCATCGCGGCGACGCCGGAGGAGGACAGGCCGAAGCCCCGCAGCGAGGAGGACATCGCCAAGGACCTGGCTAAGCAGGAGCAGGAGCAGGCGAAGATCATAGCGGAGCAGCAGGCGGCCATCGCGGAGCAGGAGGCCGAGCGTGCAAAGGTCATCGCGGAGCAGCAGGAAGCCATCAAGAAGCAGGAGGAGCAGGCGGCCAGGGAGGAGGCCGAGAGGAAGGCCAGCGCGGCCAAGGCCAGCGCGGGGCAGCGGGCGCGGTAGTGGCCGGCACCGTCTTGCGGACTGTGCGGCGGGGAGTTTTTCACCGCCCGTCGGTGGCGCCGCAGGCGGCGGGGGGGGGCCGTCGACGGGGCCGCCGGCGGCGGCACTCAGCGAGGTGCGTCGGCGACTAAAATCGAGGAAGAAAAAAGGGTATACAAATAATATGTTGGCGCTCCTCGCGGATTTCTTGGATCCGCGCTTTGCCCCCCCGGCGGCGCCTCTGGCGCCGCCCCT